TACAGTAGTGTATAGAATCATATTGGCCAAGCCATGGTTTTAATCAAATAAGGAAGAGAGAATAAAACGAGACTGGGATGTATATATTGAAGCCAAGCACAATGCAACTGCATGCCATAAAATTATGCTTTTTAAATTTTTGAATAATAAAATCAGGTGAAATTGGTTCCATCATTAATGGACACTCTAGCCACCAAAACAACTTTAGCTTTTTAATGAAGCAGTTTTGGTGTATAGATCATGACCCGGCTGTCTCACTGCATAATTCTCTGCCATTTAGGAGTTAAATCACTTTGTTTATGCAGCCCTAGTCACACCTTCCTGCATGTGACTTACACAGCCTTCCTAAACACTTCCTGTGAAGAGTCGTCTAATGTATACACTTCCTTTACTGCAAATTCTGTTTGGTTTAGAATTTTTTATCTCCTGCTCTGTTAATAGCTTGATAAACCATGCGGGAGCCTTCTATATGTAATTAAACTTCAACTACTGAGCAGGAGATAAGTTACATCATAAACAGAAACAAAAGTGATTTAACTCCTACATGGCAGTAAATTGAGCAGTGAGACTGCAAGGGCATTATCTATATGCCCAAACTGCTTATTTAAGCTAAAGTTGTGTTGGTGACTATAATGTCCCTTTAATAACAAAGAGGCAGTGAATAAGGGAAACACTCAGAAGTAAAAGTTACACATTTTAATTTTAGAAATCTCAATGGATAGACTATGGAGGGATAGACTATGGAGGAAGAAACACTCCTAATAAATTTAATAGACAGCATATAAAAAGAGATGCAAACCTTTACATTTCAAGGTTTCACTATGCAGAAAATCTCTGGTCTCTTACTCTCCGTTAGTGATATTCACTAAAACCAGGAATAAAGTCAAATTAGACGCTTTCTTCATAGGCAACAGATAACACAGGGTTAAAGAAAACTTGATCCTTCAAGATGATCAATGTCTCTGATCACTGCACTCCTTTAACCCCTTAAGGACCAACCTTCTGTAATAAAAGGGAATCATGACATGTCACGCATGTCATGTGTCCTTAAGGGGTTAAAATTAAAAGTAATACACAAGTATCTTAAATTATAGCATTGAAATATTAAAGAAACATGATTACCATAAAAAAACAAAACGAAAAAAGTAACAAGCAAATATACAGCATTCAATTACTACAAAAAAAAAATCAAAAAAGATTTTAAAAGAAATAACAGAACAAGAATCAGGCCAAGCATAAAGGTACTGTATAACGAAATCCCATGTTGAAGATGTTCCACCTGGGTGCCAGATGTTTAACGGATTAAGAGTCAATAATCATATGTGTTGAGACAAAGGTAAGGCAAGGCATCAGATATACTGTATAAATCTAGGAAAGGTATACTAGAGAGAAAAAAAAAAATATTAATCCAAAAAAACTAGTTGAAAAAAATCTACGTGTGTACAATTTTTTTTTTTTTTTTTTACTATAAACACATTATAAAAAAATATATACAGGGAGTGCAGAATTATTAGGCAAGTTGTATTTTTGAGGATTAATTTTATTATTGAACAACAACAATGTTCTCAATGAACCCAAAAAACTCATTAATATCAAAGCTGAATATTTTTGGAAGTAGTTTTTAGTTTGTTTTTAGTTATAGCTATGTTAGGGGGATATCTGTGTGTGCAGGTGACTATTACTGTGCATAATTATTAGGCAACTTAACAAAAAACAAATATATACCCATTTCAATTATTTATTATTACCAGTGAAACCAATATAACATCTCAACATTCACAAATATACATTTCTGACATTCAAAAACAAAACAAAAACAAATCAGTGACCAATACAGCCACCTTTCTTTGCAAGGACACTCAAAAGCCTGCCATCCATGGATTCTGTCAGTGTTTTGATCTGTTCACCATCAACATTGCGTGCAGCAGCAACCACAGCCTCCCAGACACTGTTCAGAGAGGTGTACTGTTTTCCCTCCTTGTAAATCTCACATTTGATGATGGACCACAGGTTCTCAATGGGGTTCAGATCAGGTGAACAAGGAGGCCATGTCATTAGATTTTCTTCTTTTATACCCTTTCTTGCCAGCCACGCTGTGGAGTACTTGGACGCGTGTGATGGAGCATTGTCCTGCATGAAAATCATGTTTTTCTTGAAGGATGCAGACTTCTTCCTGTACCACTGCTTGAAGAAGGTGTCTTCCAGGAACTGGCAGTAGGACTGGGAGTTGAGCTTGACTCCATCCTCAACCCGAAAAGGCCCCACAAGCTCATCTTTGATGATACCAGCCCAAACCAGTACTCCACCTCCACCTTGCTGGCGTCTGAGTCGGACTGGAGCTCTCTGCCCTTTACCAATCCAGCCACGGGCCCATCCATCTGGCCCATCAAGACTCACTCTCATTTCATCAGTCCATAAAACCTTAGAAAAATCAGTCTTGAGATATTTCTTGGCCCAGTCTTGGCGTTTCAGCTTGTGTGTCTTGTTCAGTGGTGGTCGTCTTTCAGCCTTTCTTACCTTGGCCATGTCTCTGAGTATTGCACACCTTGTGCTTTTGGGCACTCCAGTGATGTTGCAGCTCTGAAATATGGCCAAACTGGTGGCAAGTGGCATCGTGGCAGCTGCACGCTTGACTTTTCTCAGTTCATGGGCAGTTATTTTGCGCCTTGGTTTTTCCACACGCTTCTTGCGACCCTGTTGACTATTTTGAATGAAACGCTTGATTGTTCGATGATCACGCTTCAGAAGCTTTGCAATTTTAAGAGTGCTGCATCCCTCTGCAAGATATCTCACTATTTTGACTTTTCTGAGCCTGTCAAGTCCTTCTTTTGACCCATTTTGCCAAAGGAAAGGAAGTTGCCTAATAATTATGCACACCTGATATAGGGTGTTGATGTCATTAGACCACACCCCTTCTCATTACAGAGATGCACATCACCTAATATGCTTAATTGGTAGTAGGCTTTCGAGCCTATACAGCTTGGAGTAAGACAACATGCATAAAGAGGATGATGTGGTCAAAATACTCATTTGCCTAATAATTCTGCACTCCCTGTATTGTAAACATATATCATGCAGGAGGAAATTGTTGTGTGGTGGAAGAAGACCAAAACTAAAAATTTCAAGGGACATACAAATAATTTTGGTAATAGCTTTATTGGTCGGTTACAAATGGGTAGTTGTAGAATATTACATATTCTATGTTCCTATTCATATTCGGTATGAATGTTAACCCACAGATGTAGACGGCGGTTGTCTCATATAATATTAGAACAAGTTGATGACTGAGGATCAATACCCTATACAAAGAGATCACTTAACTATACAATATACTACATGCCGAGGGTATCCAAAAAGAATCAGTAGCTTTAGTCAGTAAAGAGACAGAGCAACTGTGTCGTTCTAATATGGGATTTAAAGAGACAGTCCAGACAGTGGATGACTCGTAATAAGTTATACAGATAAAGCATTAAAAATATATATCAAAACAATCAAAGATAATTCAAGTTGAAGATCCTGAATTTTCTTTTAAATCTCTTGCTAAACGGCTCCCATCTCTTTTAGCCAATCATTGCCGTCTAAGGAACAGAAAAATAGAAATCATGTTTAATGTCTGCTTTACTAGTGTGACTCCACAGGAAGTGAGTTACTGGTGCAAGCTTTGTGTCTAAATGTTCCAGAATGATTAGACCAAAAACTGCTCTCGTAGGAAAGGTGTTTATTGTACAAAAGGCCTAGATACATAACTGGTACAAAAGACACTCCAGGAAACTGCTTTATTTAAAATAACTGCATGCACTCGAGAGATAAACGCCAACATTTCCGACAAGGTTCAGTTCTCAGCATGAAAATAACTGGATATCTAATGTAAACAATTTGTTTCAAAACACAATCATAGCAGCCATACAGTTGTCTGGTAATGAGAAGTAAAATATGGAAAAAATATATATTGCATAGTTAAAAAAACAAATATAAAAGAATAAATGTAGTGCGCACTTTGCTGGTCGAGAGCACCATTATTGACACATATTACTAAGTATTTTCCATGACTTCAGAAAGCATCAGTCCAGTGTAGGTCAGTCCAGGATTTCCTGTTTAGATCAGCTCAAGGAAAGATGATAGGCAGGCTGTCTGAAAATGGTTTCATAGGTATTGATGGGAAAACGAATAATCATAACAAGAACTCAAAGGAAACACAATGTACATATGTAGCACACTAATGCCTGAGCCGTATAGTAGACTGCGGAATACAGACACAAAAAAAGTAATTGCATATAATAATTTTAACGTTCTTATAGGAATTATTTAATTCCACGTATTTCCAGTATAATGTAATCATTCAGAATGTATATAAAAATAGTCAATATATTAAATGCACCCAAACCATATTACCTCAATGAAGTGGTCTTGGCACAGTGGCCCTTTAGTATTAACCCATCAATGTCAAACATGGCAATTTTGTAGACATTGTACTGTCCATTGCAGGGTAAAAACTCCTGTAGTGGCTGTCTTCCAGACACACTGGAGGTGCTTCCCCTTTGAGAACCAAATCTAATCCGATTCTCAATCACATGCCCACTAATCTACCAATGCCCCTCGGGTGGATTTAGGATCTCAGCCAAGAATGCATTGATTTTTTTTTTTTTTACTTCAGACACATAAGCCTTTATTATGAGACTATAGTGTTAAGAATACACATATACAATTCGAATGATATAGTGTTCCTTTAACAGTATATTTTAACCAGAAATGGTACATTTAGCTTTTGCTTGTTTTGAAGAAACATCTGGGTTTCTTGTTATTGGCACACATTTTATCAACCTCAGAATTATTGAAGGGTGCATTTACTTTCAGGGGAACAAACGTATAACAATTAATTGACCACTTACTATGCTATCGTAATGCATCTCAGGGTTTTTATTTAAAACAAGGTGTACATTTATACAGAAAATAAGTAGTCAATATATATCTCATCCTCCACATGTTATTTCCAAACTGGTGTCTCATGTCACAGCAAGTCAGCTGGTTCCTGGGGTTTTTCCAAACATGTTAGATAGACAATTACCAAAAACATGAGACATGGATTTCCGAACATGCCTTGTGCGCAATTTCCATCAAGGACAAATCGCTATGAACACTTATTTGTTACTAGAGTTAATCCAATACAACACTAAGCAGAGGCATGTTATACAACTTGTTATATATGACAGAGGAACGGTCACTTAAAAATCTATAGCTTTTACACCACAATAGATAAAAAATAGCTACTGGATTAAAGCCAGGACTATTCATGTACTACATCTACAAAAGCTTAAAGGGACACTCTAAGCATCAATACCACTACAGGTGTGAGATATTGCAATGTTTATGTTTGTCAACAGGGTGATTCTAGTGGTTGTGAGTCAGACAGTCAGAGGCACTTCCTAGTGAAGGTTGTAAAAAATTTAAAGTCTATACGCTCAGTGTCATGATGCCACGCATACACAGTAAGGCCCTCAATGTTTCACTATGGAGAATCATTTGATTGGCCAAGATCACCCATTTGGATGGATTAGTGGTGGCCGCAGCGAGACTTGGACGCCATGGGGAGTATAATTTATTTCATTTTTTTTTTTTTAACTTCTACAGGAGGCCCCTAAAATCTAAAAAAGACCAGAAATGTTACAAATAGATATATGTAGGTGTGTTATTAATTAACCTTGGCTGCTTCAATAGCGTTTTCTGGAATGTTAAAAATGTGAACTGTCACTAACCCTGTTACAGTCGCTCTTAATTTTTTTTTTTTTTTCTGTTTACATACTTCAATATGCTGGATATCGAAGAGAACAATTTCATTACAGTGCTTGAAACCAGTTTTAAATTCACAACCTCTAAAACTTGGTTATGCTCACACTCGATTAATTGTCGATTGACTGTTATATAGGTGGAAGAGGCGAAGGTTGCATGTGTGTGAGGGGGGTGGGGTGGAGGCTAAGTGTACCTGTGTGTCCAGGTTGAGTGCTGTGTGTGTGGTGGCTGAATTTGATGTAGAGTATAGTCTGTGTGTGGATAAGTGTCCGAGTGTGGAGGATTTAATTTGCCCCCCAGCTGCTTACCTGTTTATGGTGATCCAATGGAGGCACGCTGGGAACTTGGATCCCCGATGGTCCAGTAGAGGGTGAGATGGATATCAGGTGGGGCGGGAAATTGTGATCTGCACCAATATCTAGTGCAGATCACTTTAAGAACCCTTGTGGGTGTGGTACTCTGTCAATGACTCTGAGTCTTTGTGGCACTCTGAGTCATTGAGAAGCAATAGGGGACCGCAAAGGAATTCAAAGTGGTTGGGTTGGGTTGTTTTCTCAGTTTATTTCTTTTTTCACATTATTGCACTTATGGAGGCACTGTTTGCTTAGTAATTTTATTTTTGCTAACTTAGATCCTTAGTAGGATAATGGTGGTCTAGGGGGGTGCTTGATTTGGATACAGCCAATTAGGGAAAGCATTAGAACACCCATGAAGGTGTTTCCTAGGAGCATTAGGGATACTATGTAGCTATTTACGCTGTTAAATCAGCGAAGCCAGTGATCCGCTCTTACCTTTTCCTATATAGCTGTTTGCTTGACCAATTTCTACTTTATTGCAATCTAGAGACCATATGCTGTTTAATAACTATTATTTAGTAGCTATTCCAGACCTCCTATACCACCTAGTTTTTTCAGTTATCAGCTCAGCAGACTGTTTAGGAGACATAGAAACATAGAAACATAGAATGTGACGGCAGATAAGAACCATTCGGCCCATCTAGTCTGCCCAATTTTCTAAAAACTTTCATTAGTCCCTAGTCTTATCTTATAGTTAGGATAGCCTTATGCCTATCCCACGCATGCTTAAACTCCTTTACTGTGTTAACCTCTACCACTTCAGCTGGAAGGCTATTCCATGTATCCACTACCCTCTCAGACAGATCCAAGAGCCATTTAGTCAGTTTGTTTGGAGATATATTCGTAGCCCCTACTGGCAATCTTTGTGTTGCTCTGGAAGTGGTTTCATCACACAATTCAATTAGCTGAGTTGATACTTGTTGATATTTTATTGCCCTGGTGTTGCCTCCTGGCACATCTTTTTTATTGGTAATTAATAAAGTATTTTCAGAGTTGATATTATGGGAGTCTTTCTATCCAGGAGCATTTTACCCTTTTCCTACTCCTTTAGGATCTAAGTAGGATTTCTAACAGGTTGCATTCTTTCCTTTTGCAGTATCCCCAATTTGTTTAATAAAGCCAGTATAGTGTGTTCCCCCTCTCCTTTGTGTTGTGGGGAAACAGCCTTCCTTTGACTCTAATCTTATATCAATAGCATTTGGGTCCAAGACCCATTTGGTGGATCTGGCAACACCTCACTGACCGTTATGTGTGTACTCCATCTCCTACTGGGGTTTCACACATTATTTCCTTTTGTATCGGAATTCAAAGTGGTCTACACCCAATGGAGGTGCAAACACCCTCTCAAAAAAGTGAGGTGGCTCAGGACCGAGAGGGAGATTTTTTTTACCTCTACTGGCTTAAGCTGGACCTCTCACAGGTAGAGCTGGAGCTTCGGCCCCAGACAGGCACCCTCTGGGCCCTAGACGGCCTCTTAATGGGTGATCTCGCTCGGGTTAAAGATCAATGCTTATGTCATAAAAAGTCACAGATTAAATAAGATTAGGACTGTCTACATAACTAGGATATAATTTAGTAGCAGTTAAGCATTTTACGTCATTATTATGTGGTCATTGTTTTATTGGAGATAGGTATGTTAATTAAAGTTTCAAAAAAATTGTAGTTTCTTGTTTTGCTACATATATTTTTTGCGGGGAAGGGAGGGGTGCAGTGACAGGCCATCAATGTCTGTTTACGTAAAAGAAACCAGAGCGATGGACAAGAGTTCAGTATTTCTTAATCTGGCAACAAATACTAATTTATAGTCCGTGTTTTTTCAGTATAAGATGTGGTGGGTCTGGATGCAAATTAAGAATGTTGGCATGCCACATACAGAATTTCCGGTGCTCTAAAAAAAGAGGGTGCTTAATCCCCCAGATAATTAAGCTGCAAATACTAACATTTCCAAACCAAATCCTGATATTTGTAGCTTTTGTAACAAGGAATACGCTGGAGAATAAAACCATTTTAGAACGCATAACACAAAATTCAAGAAACAAAACGTATTCAATGCTCTCATTTATTATGTTTGAAAATATAATGCACTGCAATATGAAAACAACACAACATAACTCTTAAAGTGAAGAGCAAAGTGATAATTTGATATTGATGTAAGTGTACAGGAGTACATAGTCAGAAGATTATGACTAATGGATTTTTAATGTGATTTATCCAATTCTTAACATAGCTCTAAATACTGTGGCTTAAATGCAGTTGCAGGTTAAAACATTAATAAAACAATGGATATGTATTTCAAAAGGTGGTCAGTGTCATTTTTGTTAACTGTGTCCTACATATTTTGTGCTCAACTCTTCATATGAACTCATATCTATCTCAGCCTCCTTCATTTAAATTAAATTAAAAAAAACAAAACACTTTTTTCCCCCCGACTCTCATAATTTTATCTTTCTGTCAATCCACTTAAATTATTTTTTCTATACATGGTAACATACATGTTCTTTACAAAGTCAAATATACATATTTACAATCACTAACGTCATAGAAACCATTTTACCTTGAAGGTACTTATGTCCCTAGCGCAAAAAAAAAACCAAGAAAAAAAAAATCTTTAATACCGTGAAGTCTTGTAATATATCAAAACATATTGATAGACATGCCAATCTTGCTGCAATTGTTAATAAATCTGTAGAAAAGCACTAGCAAAAAAAATAGTCATTTTACATTATTAAATATATCTTATATTATGACAAAAGAACATTCTCAATCTGTTTTCTTTTTTTACCTTTTGTTGGTAGTAAAATGTGTTTTTTTACAGTTGTATACAATATGTGAATTTTTGTTTGATGAAGATGTGCCAAGAGGATTGTTTCCTCCTATTCCTAGACACTTTTGAGCTGCTAACAAATACCAGCGTTTCTTTCTTTCCTTATGAATGAACATAATCTAAAGCAGGTATCTGAACCGAAAAGGAATAAAAAAATATATATTAAAAAAAAAATGTGGGGATTCTTCATTAAAAACAAACATAAAAAACCCCAACAAATCGGCCTTGTATGTAAATGTTATGGAAGAGAAATAAAGAGGGTAAACCGCACATTTATACCCACTATGTCTCAAAAAATCTAGTATGTGATGCTAAGTACAGTTACATATTGTTATCGCAAACATGTTGTTGGTAGATGCATCATAGCTTAATGGTTTCATCTTATTTATACAGAACCAACATTGTGCTTTTTTGACGGATTGGGCCCAATAATTTAAATTGTATTTCTGGCCGAGATTTTAAATGGGTGCTTTTTTAAAAAACAGGACACTGAGACGCGGTCTTGAACAGGGCATTTTGCTAACATAGTAAGATACTGTTTGATCTAGACATTTGCTACCACTTTCAGTGTAACGTTCACTTTGAAATGATAAATTATAGGGTCTGTCAGTTATGCTGGCGTTTCACAGTAAATTCTTTAAGATATAAAATGCCTGTGGACCTACAGGTTAAACAGATTACCTTTAAGATATTCATGAACTATTGGAAAAAAATTAAGAAGACTCTAATAAAAAATGTGCTCGTGAATCTTTGAACCATGGAAAGGAGTAGCCATAGTTTTCATGTCAACCGCCAACCCCAATTAAGGGTTGCACATTAATATTTGGAGGCATTTAGAAAAATAAATCTTCAGATTTATACAGTATATTTTCAGGGGTTTGGCTCTTGAATACAGAGACTGGTTAAGGCTAAAATCTTTGTGGGGGCAAAAGAAAAATGCACATTATACACAAGACCACTATGATTAATATTTTTTTTTTTTTTTTTATAAATATAGCTTTAAAGTGTTACATTCTAAATCTAGGTCTTATGTTCTGCTGCAATCGTTATTCACTCAAAACTGTCCCTGATCATTTAGCACTTCATAAATGTATTTTTAAAATATAACAGTAGTCCGTAGGTTCTGTAAACTCACTAGCCATTGACAGTAAGTGTGCATTCTAAGCTTTGGAGAAAACGTTCTGCCCATCACATCCTTCTAGACTTTATATTGCCAGTGGGTGTGTGATGCGCTACAGCAC